AGCTAGGCACAAGATCCGTTAGGAGCGGAACGGTCCCTCTCTGCGTGCGTCCATGGTGACCTTGGCGGCAGCGGCGTTGGCCTCTGGCATGCTAGCAGTGGATCCACGAAGGATGGTGTGCCCTCCCGACATGCATGAACTGCGGCCTCGGCATTGGATTTGTGACGATGAAGCTTCTTCCTCGAGCAGTGCTACATCGATCCACAAAGCAGGTATGACAGAAAGAAACCACACTATATATCCAGTTGATATCGCCATCCATTAATTTATTCGAGTTCCAATTTTCTATGTTATTGGCAAATCCAAAAATCAATGCTTCATTCCAGGAGGACAAATACCCAGGTTTTGTGATGTTTTTAGGTGGGGATTAGATCCGCGCCATTCTTGTTTTTGGATTTGTTTTCCTACATGTACTGATTCATGTTAAGTCGTGTGATGGAATCAAGGCCTCAGACTTAGTCATGTGTTCATGTCTATCTTGTTGGAGTATCGATTATAAATTTTTTAGATGCAAATAAAGCTTTCTGGAACAATTCAGTAGAAATAGGCACTGTCAGTATGCCAGCAAATCAGTTTCCCTCTTATGTAAATTGTATTATGTTTTAGTATATTCCATTTTAATCTTTTCAGATTGCAATAAGTAAAGCTTAGATGGGAGATGGTGAATTTCAGGGTTGGTTTGACAGCAAATCAGTTTCCTTTTTTATCTACCAGGATGCTTATGAGATCAATATACCATGGTACCATTTTTGACAACCTAATTTGTTTTCAGATTATATCGTTTGGTTTATTTTTTTTTTACCTTTGTTCTTCTGCATAGATCTGGATTGATTTGGCCCTGCTTGGAACATGTTTTCTGTCACTGGTACCTTTCGAAGGTATGCTTTATCAACTAGAACTACTATGTCGCTGGCACCTTTTGTGTTCCTCAGATCTGGATCAATTTGGGTCATTATATATGTTGTGGAGCTCATGAGGCTGGATGGGCTGAGCTTGGTGTAGACTGACATTCACTAGAAGCTGTCGCTATCGTCGTTCAACCTTGACCAGCTGATAACACTTCGCTTCGAACAACATGTTGCAGACTGACACACTCCAGAAATCTAAAGACACTCGCAAGACATTTAGGGAGGTCAGTATGCTTTGTAATACTGGTCTTTGTCTCCAGAGGCAACGTGCATGTGCGGGGCAAATATAAAAGTACATGATCAAATATAAATTATGTTCCAGCAAGAACCGAAGACTACAATGTGTTCAACTTCCACCCTGACAACTCTCCCTGCTATGGTTTTGAGGAAATCCTTGTTTGCTTCATGCCTATATGTGTTGCAGATCCTGTAAGCTTCAAATTCACAAACGGTTATCCATTTCCACCCTTTTCTTGCTAAATGTTTGATCTCAACACCTTGTTGGGCCATATACTTCATATTTTAAGTGGTGTTTAGCCTTGCCATGAAAATGCTCTATATCTTCAGTACTAGATTCATAAGTTAACTTTGGACTTAATGTGGCCTCATAGCGTTAGCACGGGCAGTATTCTGGTTACATGCTCTAGGACTCTTGCTTTTCTTCCTTTTTCCCACAAGATTTTGTTATGGTTACATGCTCCTTCTGTTTGGTCCTTGCAGTTGGCTGAGACAAGTGTATTTTCACCTTCCTGCTACTCTACATGCTATTTTGTATAAAACGTGTGTGCTCGAGAAGTGACCAAAGATCCAAAACATATACAAACCTGTGGAAATGTTTTTTCATGGAAATCCAGTAAGTTAAAGCCCCTTTGCTTTCGTATCGGCATTTCCATACTCCATATTAAACTTTGTTTAATTTAGAATTCAGGATGCACACAAGTGACATGACAGCCAATTTAGATTTTGCAATTTTGGACCTAAGTTTTTGCCTCAGCTGGTTCTCCACTCCTTGATGTATCCTATTTTCTTAAATATCACCGAGAATTTAAGGTCTATAGCTCCGGCATACAGGATTAGAGTTAAAATACATGTATTATTTACCTCTTAGACATTCCAACTTCCACTCCTTTCATTTCCCATTATGTTTTTTGGAAATTGCATTTATGATTCTATATGTACTAGTTATCGTGTTTGACCTTGATGAAGACATGGATTTCCCTTGCACATTAGTAACCTGAAGTGAATGTCATAAAGTAGAAGTTCCTAGAGTCCTAGAGCAAAGCAAAAGCTCTTAGATTCAAGGATGTAGGTCTGCATATAATCAAGGATGTCGAACAACAATTGTTTGAATTATTAAATTTTCTATAGACCAATGGATGAATGTATGAGCAAATATTTCATCCTTTAGTAATATAGATAGAAAGGCCGGTTCAGGAGCTTTGGTTCTTCGTTGTTGCATGTATTCTCCAACCTTGTTTGGACTTACTGGTTTGGTTGCAAAAAATTGTCAACCAGCTATCGGATTTCATTCTGCTTTCTGCTGTTCTACAGATAAAGGATACCTGTGTGCTTGTACGTTCAAGGCCCAGCCTGGGAGGATCTTGACAGCTACTTAATTGCCAGAGGTCTCGAGTGTTTTGAGGTCTATGTGTGTGTAATGCCTAAAAGAGACTATACTCTAGAAATGTGGAGATTGCTTAATCCAGATTCAAAATTGATCAAATCACAAAATTCTATTAATGTAGCTGCTCTGCTTTTAATCTTTATGTCATCTATTTTAGGATATATATTATTAATATATGTTAAATTTGTAATCTTGAAACCTGTCGGCTCCGCTTTGTGCTTCTGTTTCGTATATGTCATTGTCTATAATCAATGGTGCTTTTTCAAGAGTCAATCTTGACCATGCAGGCAGTCCCCATTGGAAGCAAATCATGATGAAGGTTCACTTTGCCCCTTCTTCGGCATTCTGCAGATCCTGCTCTCTACCTTGCCAAGCATAGAAGAGTATATATCAGTAGGCAGCCTCCAGGTGTAACATCAAGTAGTAATATCGTAGTGCATTAGTGATTAGTGCTAAATTTGCACTGGTCAAGGTTGTTTTCTCTAATAATAAGGTCAACCATTTATGCTTGGCAATGGATGAAGTTTTGGTCTTCATGTTTGTTGATCTCGACTGGGGCTACTGTTGGGCCCATGCTGATTCGACAGGATATTATTTTGTTTATGTTGCAATGCACGGATAACCCTCTATAATACACCAAAAATTGTTGGGCCCATTCATTATACGGCAAAAATATTTGGTTATAAAATACATGAGACGTGAATCTTAATGAATCTGATTGTTCGTTTTACTTTTTATAAATTTTATCTTGTTTTGTATTTTATCGTAGCGTTAGCACGGCCACGCTACTAGTAAACATAAGGGCAACGAATTATAAAGCAACAGTAGAAAAGGAAAGGTACAGAAAGCTATATTTTTCCAATGGCATATAAAAGAGAAGAGTATAGATATTGATGGCATATAAGGAATTTTCTCAATAAAATTAGGGCAAATGTCTAAATGCCCCACCAAAGAAAAAACTGGACTAGCTAACTTCGGAAACCTCAGCTATACCCGGTTCACTACGCGGGGCCATAAGGAATGAGTGCATCACTCGAAGTCCTTATCAAAGTCTCCTCCCCTCATCAGCGAACTCTAGCTGCACAACAACGTCAGGTTCGTAATAGCTGTTGCTAGCAATCGATGAAGCTACTTCTTAAATAAGCATCATGTATTCTGTGTTATTCTTCTAGATCGAGATCTGTGTCTGATTCGGTGTTCTTCACCCCTGAGTGGATTACTTCGTCATAAGCTGGTTTAGTTTCTCCTTGTCTTATTCTGGGACAGATCTGATGTGGTACTGCGTAGAATTGTAGTACCACTTCCCTCTTCTGGAGTCTTGCCTGCGTTGTTCATCTAGCTAGATCGAGATCTCCAAGCTCATTATATTGGTCATCAGAGTGTCTATCTAGATTCGCTTGGCAAGTAATCGCTGTCCTTTTAATCGGTTTACATATTCGCTGGTGACTAATAATACATTGATTTTTCCTCACAATATAAATTAAAGAAAGGATTTTTCACTTGATCCATTACACCACTGATTTAAAGATCTTGCGACCCCCCTCTCAGCAGGACGTATTTCAGTTGGCCTTGTAGGCCTGAAGCAATCCAAGTTAGAAGTTCACGGCTGCTGAAATCCTGCTCACTCGCTCTGCTCCTCCCTTCCCCACCCCACCAAAACACACATATCACTGTTTCACCTTTATTACTAGTTTATTTACTACCGGATCTGTAACACAGTATAATAGTTTGGACATGCAATGCTTTATTTCGGACGATTAATCCCTTGACACTGAATAATTTTGTTTCCAGAGGTTATGGTGTGAATATCAGTATTTATACTGATGTATCAGCACTGCTACAAATTCCTTGGAAGTGTTCACCAAACATTACGATTCATTTTGTGCGCTGCACTCTTTAGGTAGTGCTCCCTCCATTCCAAATTAAAGACACTTTGATTTTTTTTATATCCATTTTGCTACGTATCTAGACATACGTTATATCTAGATACATAGTAAAATGGATGTAACAAAAAAAAAGTCAAAGTGACTTATAGTTTAGAACGGAGGAAGTAGTTACTAGTTTAATACTCCCTCGATTCCAAATTATAAGTCGTTTTGACTTTTTTGGTGTAAATTTTTCTATACACCTAGATATAACGTATATGTATAGATACATAGCAAATTCTATGTATAAAAAAAGTCAAAGCGACTTATAATTTGGAATAGAGGGAGTAATTGATAAGGAATTCGTATATATGGTATTTTAAAATTAAAAGTGCTGCAAACAATATTTTTCTTATGCTAACAAATGCAATTTTGCTGTCAGATGAAAATCTGGATGTGGTCCTCTCCACTGCTGCAATCTGCTTCTTAAATTCTACCATGTGCTGCCTATCTGTTTATCCACCTCATTGCCACTATGCACAAAGCAGGGAGCCCTTAATTCATCTCACTAAGAACGTCGGTGCCTAGCAGCCATTGTGAAAGATGGAGGACCCTGGTCTGTTGAGTGCATTTGTTGACAACCTTGTGTCGAAATTGTTCTCGCTCGCAGAGGAGAAATACAAGCTGTACAAGGGTTTTGAAGGAGATGTGGATTTCCTAAAGAGAGAACTTCCCATGATCACAAGTGCCATTGATGGGCAGCTATTGGGACTGGATGATCACCAACTGCGTTTATCAGTTGAAGAATTGCGCCAAATAGCTCATGAAATGGAGGACTGTATAGACCACATCATGTATGATGCATCTTGGGAACAGCAATGGTCATGGTACAAACCTAAATTTGGGAAAAAGAGAAAATCCCGTTCACAGTTAGGAGAAGAGATGCAGCTACTAAGGTGCAGGTTGGAGGAAGCACTCCAGCGGCAGCAGAGGTATACAGTGTCCCGTCCATCCACATTCCAGCTGGCAGAATCATCCTTGGATCAGCACATCCTTCCGGCTAATCTGGTTGGCATCGAGACACCCTTTGAGGAGCTTCTGGAGCAGTTGGCAGAAATGGAGGACCAACCCAAGCAGCTGAAGGTGATCTCCATAGTTGGGTTCAGTGGATTGGGGAAGACCATCCTTGCCCGGGAGCTGTACGACAGCGAGATCGGCAAGAAATTTGAGGAAAGGGCATGGGTTTCTGCAGTTCATGGGGGACCCGAGCAAGCTCTTAACAGAGATACTCAAGAACCTGAATAAACCACCACCGGATACCTGCAATGTTTACCAGCTTAGTACTTATCTAAGGAACTTATTAAATAACAAGAGGTAAGAAACTTTCTCCCACTGCTTAAACAATATAGACACTTGCCTACACCTTTTTTTTTTTGAGAAAGACACTTGCCTACACCCTCCGTCCCAAATAAGTGCACGTCATGTATTTTGAGAAGTCGACTAATTTTAAGTTTGACTAGATTTAATAAAAAATAATATCAACATTTGTATATCTATATAGATTTAATATGAAAATATGTCAAGATTAATCTAATGATGCTTATTTGCTATCGTGAACATTAGTACTTTTTTGTATATATTTCTTCAAATTAAGATTGGTTGACTTCTTGGAACGCGAGATGTGCGCTTATTTTGGGATGGAGGGAGCTTAATAACTTTATGAAAATCTTTCTCTAATAACCAAATGTAGACAACATGCAAAGACGGATTCACAAATGATTTAGTAAAATTATTCAAATATGTAAGTAATTTGGCCTACAGCTCTTATAAAACTAAGGAGATTAATGAAAGAATTGCATGTCACCCTTGGAATTCTGACCTTGATATGTACTGCACATGCTAATATACACCACAATAAAGAGCAGTTGCTCTTTTAACTGTAGAAAGCATTGTATTTATTTCTGGAAGAGAATAATGTCAAATGAAAAAAAAATGATTACATTTCCTTCACGCATTGATCTTTATGGTGTTGGAGGTTTTTGTTGATTTGTGTATTCTCATTTGAAAAATATTCCAGGTATTTCATTGTAATTGATGACATGCGATCAGATCAATGGAGTACTATAAAGTCTGCCTTTCCTCGAGATGTTAGCAGCAGAATATTGGTGACAACGAAAATCAAGTCAGTGGCTAATACTTGCAGCTCTACCAGTGGCTACATTCACAAAATGAGAAGACTTGACGAGAAACATTCAAAGCAGTTATTCCTGAAGGAAGCTTGTCCGGTGGAATATTCAGAATACATGGGGCCTGACTTGGCAGCAATTTTGAACAAATGTGATGGTCAACCACTCGCTCTGAGTACCGTTGGCCAATTCATGGGAAAAAAGAGTTGGCCAACAGGACATGACTGTGAAGATGTGTGCAACCAGGTACGGTTTTACCATCTGAGTGATGACGATACTTTGGACAGAATGCATCAGGTGCTGATCCATGACTACACCAGTCTGCCTAGCCATGCACTCAAAGCTTGCTTTCTATATTTTGCTATGTTTCCAAGTAATCATCCAGTAAGGGCGAAAAGGCTAAAGAGGCAATGGTTAGCTGAGGGATTTGTGCGGCCAACAAATTTATGCACTGATCATGCAGCTGAAAATTTCGAGAAGCTCTTGGACCAGAGCATCATCGAACCCATTGATGTGAATAACAACATGATTGTGAAAACATGCAAAACTTATGGCATGATGCACGAGTACATTACACTCAAGTCTCTCTGTGAAAACTTCATCACTTTGTCAAATGGAGGGGAGCTCGAACCTAAAAATGCCCGTCGTGTTTCTCTACGTCACAGCACTATTACAGATGGCGCCACTGTGAACATTGATCTCTCTCTTGTCAGATCTCTGGTAGTATTTGGGGAGGCAGGTAAATCTATGTTGAGTTTCAACAAGTATCAATTGCTAAGGGTCTTGGACCTTGAAGACTGTACAGACTTGCAAGATGATCATCTCACAGAAATATGCAACCTATTGCTTCTTAAATATCTGAGCCTAGGAGGAAATGTTAGCATCCTTCCCAAAGAGATAAAACAACTGAAACTTTTGGAAACACTCGACCTAAGGAGAACGAATGTAAAGATACTTCCAACTGAAGTTATTCAACTGCCCCATTTAATTCATCTCTTTGGAAAATTCAAGCTTCCAGAGAAAGCCAAGCATGATGAACTGCAGAAATTTCTTAATTTGGCAAAATGTAAGTTGCAGACACTAGCAGGATTTCTCGTAGATGAAAACGACGGATTTGCGGAACTTATGGGTCATATGAAAAAATTGCACAAGGTAAAGATTTGGTGTGAGTCATCTGCAACTAGTACTAAATTGACCACTCTTCAGAGGGCCATACAGGAGTTCATTCATGACGAGAAGGATGCAAGCAATGATCCTCGTTCTTTGTCACTCCATTTGGAAGGATGCTCTGAAGACTTTCTCAAAGAATTGAAAGCTCCCTGCTATCTCAGGTCGCTGAAATTACAGGGCATGTTACTGGAACTCCCTGGGTTTGTCACGGCTCTGCGCCGACTCAGGGAGTTGTGCCTTCAGTCAACTAAACTTAAAGCTGATCTTCTCTCAGCTTTGACAAATTTGAAGCATCTGCAGTACCTGAAGCTGATTTCTGATGAACTTGAAGAGATCACCATTAAGAACAAGGCATTGCCAAGGCTGCTCTGCCTCTGTTTTGTGCTGCAGCGTCCAACATTCCCAAAGATCGAAGATGGTGCCTTGCCATTTCTTGAAACTCTTCAGCTGCTTTGTAAAGATATGGATGGCCTCTCTGGGATCCAGATTAAAGGTTTCACACGACTGAAGGAAGTAATGCTTGATATAAGAGTCACCAATGGTACTAAAGTGAACTGGATGGAGGCAGCTAAGGAACATCCAAACAAACCAAAAGTTGTGGTTAAAAGGGCTGTACCACCCGAAGATTATCTTGGAGGAGCTTCTGCTTCACTTGGGAGAACTGAGAATGAAATTATAAATTGCTCTGTTCTGTCAGAGGGACAAGTACAGGAGACTGACACCCAAATGCCACATGACGAACCGAATTCTGTTTTCAGTAATATAGGACATCCGGTAGTTTGTGCTGCTGGTTCGTCCATTGCTAGCAATGGCACAATGGCTTCTTAATTCTTCATTTCTTACATGAATGACAAGGATTTGGATCCTCGAGGGAGCATCATGGTCAGCTTTGTGTCCCTTCTCTTTTGCATATCATTTTTTTTTCATTAGCTACCAAAACCCTGCTAATATCAGCTAATACATGATCAAATCCGTATTTTGCACTCCCATCACTCCTTATCATCCAGCAAATGAACAGTACCATAGCAGTAAAAGAGACATTATGGATAATCCAACCACCTTAAGATGTTTGGATCCAAACAACCTGTCAAGGGCGTTGGTGCTCAAGGTAGCTGGCCCTCGACTACGAAGCTCGTAGCTTGGGCTGGTAATTGCGTGGGGTTTATCCCCTGGACGCCCTATGTTGAAGGGGATGAAATTAAGAGAGAATAGGGAGATTAGGAATGGGTTTGTTCTTGCTTGATTCGATCTCAGCACGTTACATGATATAAATAGGAGTCTGGCTCCTTGATAACTGCCCAGCCATAACTACTAATCCCCAACCAACTCCTAAATGCCATTGATCACAGCCGCCTGGCCTCCTCGGGCTCCTGCTTTGCAGCTGGCTGCGCATGCACCTCCCTGGGTTTTAACCCCTAACTTAACTGCCATTGATTACCGTCTAAGCCTGCTCCTCCTTGGGTGCACCCCTGGCAGCATCTCGAGCCCTAGGCCGATGCTGGTACTGTCGGTCCCACATGACATCTCTCCCTCCCTTGAGAAGCAGCTCGTCCACGAGCTGCAATGCTGGATAGCGATCGAGGAAGTTGCCGACGTCTTCCCAGGTGACAGAGGCTGCAGGTTCCCCCTTCCAGTGAACGAGAACTGGGCAAACACCCCGGACGAGGTGTGTGTGGGCAGCACATTCTAGTTTGGGTATCGTAGCACCATGGTGGGTGGGGAGAAGCGCCGGTGGTGCAGCCAGAGGGGTGCCGACGAACTTCTTCAGGAGCCAGCAGACCGGATGGTCCTTGTGCCAAAAGGACATGGTGAAGGCCGCAAAGTCCCACAGGATTGGGCTGAGTGTGGCCAGCCATTGGGTACCCAGCACCACGTCGTACCCCGGCAAGGGGAGCGCGAAGAAGTCGGCGGAGAATTGATCGCCGTCAATGGAGAACGGCGCCCGCATATACACGCCTGTGCACGGCACGCGCTCGCCATTGGCCATCGTGACGGACGCAGAGCTGCAGCAGACCATGGGGAGTCCGGTGCGGCTGGCAACCTTCTCGGTGATGAGGTTGTGCGTCGAGCCCGAGTCGATGAGGGCGTGAACGTTGACATCACCCAGTTGGAGGCGCACCTGCATGGTGTTGATTGTGTGGATGCCGGTGATTGCGTGGAGGAACATCTGCAATGCCAGATTGGCGGGGACGTCGGAGGCGGCGTCATTGTCATCATCCACCGCTGCCAGGTCCAACAAGAACAGGCGCTGGCATCCTTGGTTGTGACCACACCCGAACTTTTCATTGCAATTGAAGCAAAGGCCGAGCCGGCGGCGTTCTTCCATCTCGGTCATCAACAGGCGCTTGACGGGGCGGCCCGCGAGGAGGCCCCACTGGTCGCGCGGTGGTGCCGGATGTGGCGCCACAATGGCGGCGCACTGGTCGCACAGCTCCAGCTTTCGAGCGAGGCTCATAGCGACGACGAGTGACTGGTGTTGTGGAGCTCGACGTCGAGGCTGAGCGGCGGTTGGAGCCCGGCTGTGAAGGCCTGGACGCGGTGGGCCTCTGTCAGCGTACCCACACGGGGCAGCAGAGCCTCGAACCGTTCCTGGTACTCGGTGGCGGAGCCGGTCCGCTTGCACGCCATGAGTTCGCCCAGCGGATTGGAGCGGATCGACGGACTGAAACGGAGGTTCAGGAGCTTAGAGAAGTGGCGCCAGGATGGGGTGCCCTCATCTTGCTGCACCAGGATGAACCACATCTGTTCGCCGGCCTCCAGGTTGTAGGATGCCACCTAGACTTGTTCTTCCGCCACGATATGCGTGTTAATGGAAGTATGACTCACAGCGGTTGATGAACGCAAGTGGATCGGACTTGCCGTCGTACTTCGGAAAGTCAAGCTTCTGGAACCGGGGCGGACGATCGCCGTGGTTGTCGCCGTGGCCTGAGCCCCGCGATCCTGAGAAGG